CATAGATTTAACTATGTCACAGAAACTGCATAGATGCCTATGCCCTATAGCATGACCATGGTCTATAGCTAATGAAATGCCTTTTAACCACTCTATAACTAAGATATTTCAGCATTGCAAATACATGAATGTACACCGAGTTCTAAGAACATTTATTTATCTTTCACCAGAAAACATGGCTCATACTAAGTTCTGCATTGTGATATTAGTCAGAAGACATGCAAGCTGTATACTAACTTAGTATTCATATTTTTATGAAGTTTTAGGACTGATGTCCTGTCTCCTTATCATTTACATCTAAATCAGTACAGGTCTCATTGGGTACAACAATGAGAGGATAGTAGACTTTGGACACTATGTCCTTGTTGGGTTTGTACAGTTTAGTAGAGAAGAAATCCCATAACATCTTGTTGTAACCCGACGTGCCTATCACAAGCAAGATGTCCACAGCTGACAGCAGTTCGCTGTAGTTTGAGGACACATTTGTGGCTAGGACGCTCAGTTTGAACACAGCCAGAACTGAGCAGTAGGCAAACTGAATCAGGTAGTTGAGAGCATACAATGCCAGACTCAAGAAGTATATGTAGAACATCTTGTCCCCTTTGCTGGGTGGGATGTGGTGAGTGAGAGAAATGACCAGGACTGCATCGGTCACATCTTTGAACATCCAGCCAAGGGCTGATTCGGCAATAGGATTGGCACTTTTTTGAGAAAAGCCAATTGAAATGTTCATCACATCCCATGCAAAAGCGACAAGGAACGATGTTAGAAAACTCAAGAACCATTTCTTAGATGCGCATCTCAAGAATGACTTCTTGAAGCCCAGAAACCTGCCCTGTGTTGCGATCAGCACGAGAAGGATGACTGTGTTAACCACAGATATGCTGACCTTCAGCTTTGGCACTAAGAAGGGAGGTCCAAGCTGAGTGTTGTTGAAGTTTGTACAGATGGTTGGCAGGCTGTCGTGGGCTTTACACCAGGTGATCTGGAAGTTGATGACGTTGCGGTAGGCACTGAGGCAGATGACACACAGGTGGACCAGGAGGAGCAGGTAGTAGCTCAGGAGGCCAGCCTTTCCAACCACTGCATGCATGGTGCCTATCTGATCTGAGACGGAAGACTGACAGAGAAAAATAGATCATTGGAATTTGGAAACGGTTGATTGTACGATTTTGTCATGTTAGTTGTATATTTGCTGCTTTTTAATGTTACCATGTGTCTTGAGTAGTGATTGCAAACATATGCATGTAGTCAAATGTGACCATATCTACAGTCAGTCATTGACTAACAAAAGCATTAGTGACTTAAAAAGCCATTCAGATCTTCATTTAGAAATGATCAAAGACTTGCTATATCAGTATATGTCGAGAATTTCTCAGATATTGGAGGTTTTTAATTTGTCAGTTGCTTTTTTGGAAATTTGTATGAGAAAAAGTCTACTTTATTCTTAATGTTTCAGTTGGACCTATGGTATTGTGGCGGGTAATCCTAAGCCAGGACTTCCTCCAAGGATTGGTACTTCCCCTGAAACTAAGGCCCGATTTAGACTAGAAACGCTTAAGGGGTTTTAGCCAGGGAAACGTTTCGGAACAGTTAACCGTTCCCGGTCTAAAGAGGAAAAAACGGTTTGTTATGGGTTTTCGCGGACCGTTTCTGAAAACCACCTCCATCGTGGTTTTCGACCGTTTCAGAACCCTTCAGCGGGGGGCCCGAAACGCTTTTTGCTAGGTCTAAAGTCAAAGGGTTTCTTGAAACGGTAAACCAGGTCACGTGTCATATGCTAATCACATGCTAATAAGCCCGCGCGCATCCGTTTTCTGGTAGATTTGCGCCATATTCGATTGTGTCCATTTTCGCCATTTTATATCATGTATTTCTCGAATTTTCGTCATCCTTTATGTCTGGGGGGATGGCAGAAGGCCAGGGGAGGGTATGGACCCAAGAAGAGATCCGCTGCTTGATCAGCTTGTGGGCCGATCAAACTATACAATCCCGCTTGGAGACCTCGCGTAATAAAGAGGGCATACAGATGCTTGTGGACGGGCTGGCGGCTGAGGGGTATTTACGCACCCCAAAGCAGGTTCGGGCGAAGTTCAAGGCCCTGAAACACAAGTATCATAAGGCCAATGAGGCAAACTGTAGAAGCGGCTCGGGGAGGTCATCATAGGTCACTGTGGGTCAGAAACATCCTGCGCCACGGGCGGCCCGAAACGCTTACGCCTCTGTGTCTAAAGACGAACCGTTTTCTGTGGCGAAACGTTTCGTACCGTTTCGAAACGGTATACCGTTTCTAGTCTAAATCGGGCCTAAGGCTTGTTATCTTTGTGGGAAACCTTTCTTTTAGACTTGGCCATATTCCAGTTTTTTCGACTGGAAAGCATACCAAGTAAGGCCACCAGAAAGCACAAGAAAAATCCTGTCATTCTTATTACTTTCCATTAAACGATGATCGCTCACTCATCACCATACACTACAGCGAGCTGAATTGGATATGTGTAACACAGTACAGTGTATATTCTAAATTGTTTAGTTACCAAGACACTAGTTGGTAGTCACAAAACCAGGACCGACGGCAGCTGAATACAGCTCGGCAGAGAGTTTTGAGCTTCAGCCTTGGAATCAGCCCTACAAGCAAAAAAAGTTTTGATGTATCATATTATCAACTCATCATATGTAACTTATACATGTATGTCACTGTGTTTAACATAACTAATGACTGTCAAACAAAAAAAAAATGATAAAAGATAAAAATTTGTCTTCCTGACAAGTTATATACTGCTAAAATGAGTTTACTTACCCAGAGCCTAGCCTGCAGCTGTGTAGTGAAATAGGCAGGAGGAAGTGATACACACTTAGTCTAACAGTAGTACTAGTTAGTAACACAGACACAACCTGGCCTATGGCTTCAGTGCATATGTGAAACAATGGAACTATTGGTAAGTTCCTACTTTCACTTTTCATGGTCATTACCATAGATTGGCTACCTTTGGGGAAGTGCATTATGAAACCTGGCAAGCTTCCAGCAGGCTAGGCTTATTCATGAACTGTTACCATGGCTTGTGAAAAATGTACCTTCAAGAAGCAAGCAATACATAGTTATTGTGACAACATACAATTGAACTGGCTGCCATGCTTGTCACGATGTCACTTCCAGCATTTAATTGAATTGACTGGCTGCATAAATCAAGAAATGGTACGGTAATTTGCAAGATGTCATGTTCCCTAATGTCAGAAAGGTGTATTTTCAGTTTAAACTGGTATGGTATTACATAATTTGCAAGATTCGATGTTGCCTTTGTTCATTGAATAATGTGTAGATCTGTCATGTTTGACTATTTCCATCTGTCATCTTGCCAAGAACTTTACGTGGTAATGGTAGGATACCAAGGGAACAAGCTATATCCAGCAGCATTGATTCTAGTGGACAGATAAAATGAATAAGTCCTAATTACATACCACTACCACCAGTCAGAATTGCTGTTTTAATTCATATTAAACAATTGACCTCGTAAAAGAGTCGTATTACCTTGCAAGTAAGCAATAACTTTTCAAGGAAGCCATTGAAAGGAGGTCCACAATTGATGCTTTTATTCCTCAGTTTCTTGTGAACACATAGAATTTATGTATTTTACTAGTTAGTTATTTAGTACAAATGTATATGCAGTAACCATCATACTCATACAGGTACTTTTTACCACATGTCATGAACAGTCGTAAAGATTCAAGACAATCAGATTAAATTTCTTACTTAAAATAATGATCTCTAACTTACTGACTTCTTACTTTTTGCCTTGCTATATATCCAAATTGCCCAGCTAGATCCTTTTGACAAGCTATCATAATATGATTACATACAAACATTCAAGGTTGACTATTCAATGTAATATATGATATATTTCATCATATGATAATACTAGTATATTTCTCAGCTATTCAATGTTTGTTAAACAAAAGTTTACAAGCTTATGTAGTAAATTGTCCCCAGTCATGTTTAGAGTTGTGGATTGACAATTTCTATGAGTCATATTTTCCTGGCCAAGTACTGTATACATAATACACAAACTATTGCTGTTATAACTTATATTGTTATCTCCCACTTGAACACAGAATCATTACATACATGTATTACTATATACATGTGTATGGCAATTGCTATAATCATATTTACTCTAGCTGAAGTGCAGTACAGTTCCATGTATCCTACACACAGAGTTTACAGTTAATCTGACTCAGCGTTTGAGTCTACTGGCTGCAAGTGCAGAGGATTGTACACAGACGTAACAATGTCTTTGTCTGATTTGTACAGTTTGGTGGAGAGAGAATCGTAGACAGTCTTGTTGTAGCGGGATGTGGCAACGGTCAGGAGGATATCTATCATGGACCAGAACTGCGATTTATTCGCCACAAGGCTGATCTTAAACACGGCAAGCACTGAGCAGTAGGCAAACTGTGACAAGTAATTAATGCTGTACACAACCACAGTAAAGCTGTATAGTAGAAAGGACTTACTGGGCTTGCTTGGTGGGATGTAATGAGTGAGAGAAATCACTAAGGCAGCATCAAGGATGTTTTTCATGAGCCAACCAAACGCTGTGATGGTAATTTGAAGTGCTTCAGAGTTCTGGAGCACAATAGCAACTGCTGTGTTTACAAAGTCCCATGTTATAGCCAGGAACAAAGACAGGCCAAAACTCAGAAGCCACTTCTGTGACCGGCACTTTTTCAGAGATACTTTGAATCCATAGAAGTGGCCATTGTGTTTGAGAAAAACAAAAAACAGGACTGTATTAATTAGGGAAGTCACCAGCTTGAATTGGGAAGTGAAGTACCTAGGCAAGCCCAACTCAGCAATGGTAAAATTTGAGCAGAAGCCGCCATGCCCCTTCTGGTTCTTGCACCATGTGTGTTGGAAGACTGTGATGTCATTGTAGATGTTGAAGCCAATAGCAAACAGGTGGGTGGCCACCAACATGCAGTAGCCCAGCTGGCTTGCCTTCCGGATCATTGATTGCTTGTCATCCTAAAAAGGAACAGAAAAGAATTCAGTGCTATTTCAACCAGAAACCACCTTTGTCTGCGTTTCTATCCAGCATCACTTCCTGTTAGTCTTCCTTCAATACCAAATGAATAGAAAAGTTCTACTTTCACATGTTTTTGTGAGGGTTGTACACTTACTTGAGAAACATTGACTGCTGAGTCTTTCTTGAGCAGTGGGGACTCTTCACCCGTACTCGTAGTTGAAGTCTTCCTGTTTTTTGAGGCCAGGTTAACATACAGCCGAAACTCTGCATCCATTGTGATGGTAGACTTCCACAAAACTCAGATGGCTTTGTCACACCTGCAGCATATTTTAGCTAAATTAATAACTAGATACATTTGTAGATTGCATGATGTAAAATGTATGAATTTCACTATTAATACATTAATAGTACATTACAGTAGATAAATCTGTATATGAATTGGAACTTGGAAACTGTAGGAGGTGTAGAAGATAGTAGGGCCAGTAGGCCTAGACATCCTGAAGTTCCCATGTCAATTGTGCTCCTGGCCTTACACTAAAGGCACTGGCAGAGTGCAAGAGGTAAAAAATGAAATACAGTTTTGAAAGTGTATGACGGTAATGTCATGTCAAGATTCCATGTAACAAGAAATAAGAGAATGTGGAATTTCAAAGTGGTACTGGTAGTCATGTTATAATAAAATGATACCTACCTTGATTCAGCAATCTTTCCACAGCAGTGCTGTCGTTGAAGTAGAGAGTGCCAGTGTGGCCGGGAGATGTATCTTCCGTAAATATACACTTAGTTAAATGTAATTGTCTTCAGGCAAAGCTGCTATAAATAGCTCTAAGCTGCTTGATGTGCATCTGCTTGTATACTGTGATCTCCAGTCAGCGAAACAAACTTCCTCATTTTAACAGTACTACTGTTATGACGGTGCGTTACTGGAGCATGGCTTATTTGCATAAAAGGGAAGTGAAAGCATCCCACAACCTTACTGTGACACCGGAACTTCCTCTTCTGTTAATAGCAGCACATTTTCTGCCCTGATAAGGAAGTTGCACAGGAATCTGCAAAAGTCTGATTTCTACATTTATTTTTGACAAATCAGCTCTTTTATACATGTAGCACCTATCTTATATTTGCTTTATATTAAGTCCAATATGTATTTTAATATACATTGTATTCTCTGATGCCTTTACTAGCTTTTTTTATCACCACATGTACATGAACAGCTACAAGACCTGGTTGATACATACAGTCTGTACATGTTGAAATTAGTTACATATGTTGAAATTAGTTACATAATATGTAAAAATAAATGTTATAGCACAGAGTTAACTCCATGGTTATAGGCATGCAACTTATCAACTGAAAGCACATGCTCTTGTTTCTTCCTCCACATGGATGGTGTATGTAGTATAATGTACAGTAGTATTGATGTATTCAAATGGGAGAGATAAGTTTATCATTAAGTACTAAGTCTTGTACTTTGATCTGGAACAATACATTGTATGTTAATGAAACTAGCTGATAGCCTCTCACAGTTTTCAACAACTTCTGCTTCAGCAGAAACCACCTCTTTTTTTAATGCATGTGAGAAAAGCTCCAATCATTCTAAATTTGTAATTTTGTAATATGATATAAATTCTATATAAAGTCTAACTTGTACCATTACTGATTTTGAACCAAAGCTTTACACATTACATATTCAACAAGTGCTAATATTTAGTTCATACTCATCGGGTGTTACAGTTATTGTTGACACTAGCATCTATTTCATTTCTGTCTTCCTCTTCATTATTCAAAGGTAGGTACGAATCATCACTGGGAATGATGAGAGGATAGTAAACAGTGGACACAATGTCCTTGTCAGGCTTGTACAGTTTTGTAGTGAAGAATTCCCACACCATTTTGTTATAACCTGAAGCAGCAATAGTGAGAAGGATGTCAATGGAAGTGAAGAACTCGTTGTCAAATATTTTGGATACAAAGCTCATCTTGAAGACAGCAACAACTGAACAGTAGCCAAACTGAGCTAGATAGCTTAAACCATACAAAGCAAGAGTGCAGATGTACATGCGATATGCAGGGGTTGCCTTGGGAGGTGGAATATAGTGGGATAGGGCAATCACAAAGACAAAGTCAACCAGATTCTTAGTCATCCACATCAAGGCTGAAGCAGTTATGGCAAAAGTTAGATGTGTTTGCGACAAGCCAAACACTGTATTAGCTATGTTCCAGGCTATAGCAAGACTCAAGCTCAAAGTAAAATTCAGAAACCACTTTTTTGGTGAAGCACCTTTGAAATGACTTTTTAAACCCCAGAAACTGACCCCTGTTTGACAGGAGCACAAACATGATGATGGTGTTTGTCAGAGAGATGGTCACTTTAATCTTAGGGATCAGGAACTGGGGGAAGACCCAGGTTCCCTTTGGGACAGGGGTAGGGTCGTCCCATGTGGAGTTCCAGCAGGACAGGTTGGCTGGAGGATCTGCTGCCATCTTCTGTTTCTCACACCAGCGTTCATGGATGGTTCTGGCATTGCGATAGATGCTGAGAGTGACGATAAATAGGTGTGTCAGGAGGAGCAGGTAGTAACAGCCACGTGCAACGCTGTAGAGGGCTGTCTTCCATTTTTCCTGCAGTAAAGATAGGTACAATGTACTTAACACAGCCACATACTAGTCATAGGAAACTTTGTACTGATACAGTAGAGTTGCAGTATAGTTTCCCCGGTTACAGACTTGCTGGGTTTTGGCTCACCATGTTGGTCTTGGCCAATTTGTAACCATAACATGTTAATGGGTAAGCATGTAATATGGTTTGTCATTAACAGAAAGGCTGATGTCACCTTTCTAGTAGGCATTTTGGGGTTAACTTCCTCTTTTTCTGTGTTGACATCATAATCAGTACAACACCAGACTGTGTGGTTAAAACTACAGAGCTGCAGTGTAAAAGCTTACTGTATATCACAAAAACATTTCTTTCTGTCGCTTACATTGGAAACTTTCAATGCAGAGCCCCTCTTACGCAGTGCAGACTTTGAAGTCCTCCTGATGTATGAGGCATTAATGTGCAGCCGAGCTTCTGCATCCATTGTGCTTGTAGTCTCTTACAAAACTCTGATGATTTTGTTACACCTGCAGAAGATTTTAGCTAAATCAATGAGATAGTTATCAGTCAATGTCAAACATCATTTTTATTATCGTAGTTCAGGCTGGTTGCTTGACATGTAAAGCTTCTTAATCATAGGGCTAGTTCTTTTGGAATTGGTAAAAGTACCCGGGAAAATTCAAATTCACCTAAAACAGAACTTTAATACAGGAAAGATACACATAAATTTGACATCTTAGCTCCAGTGACTATTTTATTTCATACTATAGGGAAATGTTCCTTTATAATATTGGACTATAAACATTGCTCATAATGTCTGTGTCTTGAACAAGCTAAAAATTTGGCCAACATGTTAAAGTGACAAGTGTAGTATATTTTTCTCCTTTGATAATGGAAATTTTTTCCTTTCATTTTACAGTCCAAGAACCTAGAATATGGTATGGCATGCACTTAAACTCAAAGGGCAGATAGACTTGTCACAAGGATTTGATCACCTTGACAACATGTGAACAATGGCAATTGTGTGCTATTCACACAAACAATGATACACTACAGAATGATAATTTGATGACAAAAGCAAGGAACATGCAACTACTAATGAACATTGTTAAACATAGAGAGTAAAGAAAATTTTGATTTAGAAGTAGGTTTACCTGCCAGTTGTTACATCAGATGTATCAGGACAGATTGTCCCAGTATAAGTCTCGTCTTGTGCATGTCTCCTACTGTCCCACAAGGAACCAGCGAAGCTTGAAAAGTCAGCTGTTGGCTGTTGTCCAGAATTATTATTTGCTTGCTCACTTCCTCTTGCTGGCTACATACAAGTTCCCCTTTCTAGTCCCGATTTGGCTTCACACAAGTCCCCTTTTTTAGTCCCTGTACGTGGATTGCCTTTATAAAACATCCGTAAGGGCCAATGTGGGATTTCTATCGGCATCTTCATGCAGAAATAAAGTGTGCGGCATGAAGCTGACAAAAATGATGTGATTTCCTTTTTACAATTTTGTCATTAATTCCTTGAGAAAGCTGACAGATCACATTTTGAACATCACTATATTTGTATCTTTTCAGGTGCCCACTTCCCTGTCTGCCATGCCTGAGTTTATGGACTTCCTGCAGGCCCAGGCTGAGGCACTAGATGTCCTCACACAGAGCATGGATACTCTGGGAAGGGAGGAGGAAGACACAGGTTTCCAGTCATGCATCAAGTTCAATGGAATTCCAATACTCCCACCTGTGGTATGTTGATAGATAACACTGTTCTTTATATGATTAATATGCTTTATAAGAAATGGAAGAGTAACATAGAATTTGTGTTGAGCCCTGGAGGATTTCTGATTGAAAGATATACATCTTGAAGTTGATCCTTAGAAAAATGATTAGGTAAAGCATTACCAAGTCTTCTCATTATCTTCACCTCGTGCACACCTATACCATGATTGTCCCACACAGATGGATGAAGGGCGGTGTCTAGAGATGCAGCGTTACCGACAGCTGGCAGCAGGAGTGGAGCACAGACTGGCTGTACAGAGGAGGGACAGACTCCTCAACAGGGTCCAGTCAGTCATACAGAAAATTGAGGTGCTTACAAAAGTTACATCATTTCTAACCTGCAGAATTTTGCTTTCTTGTCACCTGCTATAACTTAGTGTAAGATTAATTGTATACCTGTAAATTGTAAGAACACTCAGCAGTTGCTTTGTACTTATAGTGACTTCTTCTGGAATATTAACTCTACAGTGAAGTAGGGGGAATGTGAAAAGAAAGATCACTACTTGACTTCACTTGTTTATTGTTCAGGTATTCCTACCATTTTGTTTTCCAGGAGAGGAGAACCCCAACCCCAGTCATCAGTCCAGATGTGAGTGGTGGAGACCAGTCTGGTGTCAGTAGACCTGGGGACCACACAGCCTCTTCCTCCCACAACATTCCTTACAACCCTCTCAACTACTCCTTCCACGACTCTCAGTCTGACACTCTGTCCTCATCAGATAGAGACACCCCAAGGGACAAACATACAGACTCGCAGAGAAATGATTTAGAATCAAAGTCTGGTCTTGAAAGAGATGTAACAGAACTTGATGCAGGTAGATCTGACAAAGGCAGTGATGATGGGCCAAGGCAAAGATACAGTAGGGAGTCAAGCAATCAGTCCAGTGACATGGGGGTAGATAGAGAACCAAGTGAGGACAATAAGGCAGTTGAGAGAAGAAAGTGGTCTTCTGAGGGAGAGGGTAACACAAGTGGGCAGTCACCGTCCTCAGATGGGTTTGAGGGTAGGGTACGATCAGAGACAGTATCTACAGAGGAATCTGAAACAAGAGAAAGAGTGGGCAGTAGTTCTGGTGATGACTGGGTAGTGAGGGACAGATCCAACACAGGGACCACAGAGGGGAGCCTGGAGGAGGTGGATTACTACGGTATGAGCCTGCAGAATTTGATACGCAAATCTGTGGAAGAACAAAGGGCAGAAAATGCAGTTCCAACCCACAATCCTACAACCTCTGATAGTGGATCGGTGATCACTAATTCTCATGCAAGTGAGGGGGATGTCAGGGATGCCGTACTGAACACTAATAATGCAGATATTAGTAACCATGGCAATATAGAGGGACCTAACGTCACGGGACAACTTAAAACTTCTTCTTCCTTTGAGGGTGACCTAAAGATGGCAGGGTCCAGCCAGTGTACAAGCAGCAGCAGTAGCAGTGACAGTGCCCTCAACAGAACCATCATAGCCAAGGATGAAAGCTTGCAGGACAAACTCACAGAAGTGCAAGGAGAACGTCCTGGCCATGGTGACAACATACAGGGTATGAATCATACAGTAGATTGTGCAAACATCTCTGGTAGGCAAAATGAGTCAAATGGTATGGATCTCAACAAGGAGATTGACAGGTCACAGGAAGAAGGAAAGGAGAGTGCTGTGGACAGTGGTGTTGCCACAGCGGAGTCCAGAATCCGTTCTGGTACTGATGATAGTGTAACAAGTTTGCTGGGCGAGTACACACCTCTTCCCACAGTCAGTCCCAATGTAACACCAGACGTCTCTGACATCTTGCCTACCCACGGTGGACCTCCTGTGCAATCTGACATGTCGGACACTGTGCTGCCAACACAAAGAACAAGCACAGCAAACCCAAGACAAGACAACAAGCTTCCCGAGTCAACTGAAGAACCATCTGCGCACACTCAGACACTGACGACCAGTTCTATGTTCTTCATGAGTACTGACGAGTCCCTGAATACTGCAGCCCAGTCCTGCACCCTTCCCATCAGCCCTGTGTCAGAGGACAGCGATGCGACCTTGAGGGACTTAACTGACTTTGAGGAAGAACGAACAAGTGCAACACCGGTGCCAGACAAGCAACAGACAAGACCTGAAGCTACTGTTGCAGGCAAACATTCATCACGTAATGACATACCTGGCCATTCACCTGAAGGCCAGGAGTTAACCAGGAAGAAGGGTGACGAGGTTTTGACACCTAAGCATGTTCGTAGGGGGTCCTACACCCTGGCCATGCCCTCCCCTGCACTGCTGCAGGCAGAGGAGAAACAGAAGGTCAGCCCAGAGGGGAGAAGTGACTACCTTGTCAGAGAACCGGGACAGCTTCCTGTTCAAAGCAGACAGAATGCACAAAGAAGTGGTGTTTATTTACCGGACAGTGGATTTACGACTAGATACAACAGCACTATACCAGCGAGTAGAGCAAGCCACCCTCCAACTACTAGTACTACATCTGTAACAAGTGCCCAAGAGCAGTATCAACATGGGCAACAAACCCAACATACTAGTACCTCTAGACCAGACAGTTCAGATATTGTATCAGGGGAAACCCAGAGAAAAGCTGCACCTGACAACCCTGCTGAGGCTTCTCATGTACCAACAATTAATCCAGAATTCTTAGAGCAGGTCAGTTTTTTTAATTCTCTGCTCATACCATCTCATAAAGGTTAGTAATAAACCATATCCCTTTATGTTTTATGTAGACTGAAAGACAATCAATTGAACCAAAGTAAAAAAAAATGTCTATAATGCTGCAAATGAATGACTATTCTATCTGTTGCCTTTAATGATATGTATCAAAATGAAATGTAATCTTCTAATGGATACAAATGCATGTCTTCCAGGAGCTTCAGAAGTATGAGGACCTGAAGGCCCTGATGCAGCATCAGCATAAGATGCAGCTGGCACTGCTGATACAGGTAAACATACATGTATTGTATACCTGTACTAAAAGTTAACCTTCAGTGATGAGATTCTAAATATGACAAACCTGTTGTGTAAATAACAGTTTACTGACTCCTGTTTCAGGAACAAGAGAGGCAGCGGCTCGCCATGCACCAGGAGCTGGAACTGCAGGAAGAAAGGATCAAAATGCAGAAAAGTAAACTTGAAGAACAATACAGCAGGTTAGTTGGGAAGCTCATAAAATGTCACAGTTTTGGAAGATATACACCTGTATGTTGTTGCCTCTTAGATCTGATGTGACTTTTCTAAAGAATTTTAGCTCATATGTGAAGCCTTATATTTCTGAACCCACAGGCAGGCAGAATTGTGTGAACAGGAGAGATGGTCTGAATCAGCTGCAGCCTTACGACAGCTGGAGGGCAGAAATGCGCTTCCACCCTCCCCAACCCACACCTTCAACAGACCCAGGACTGTGCCTGTCACAGCAGCATCTGAGCAGTACGGCGTGACTCATCCTGAGACCAGCACTGTGGATTCGTCCTTCCCAAAACAAGGAATCTTATCAAAAGAACAGCCTAGAGATGGAATAATCTCTTCTAATTACGTTCCCACTAGTGAAGATGCTGTATGGCGACACACACAGGCTGATACCAGCACCAGTTATGTACCCCCAAGTACCACACATAGCCAGACAGCCCCTACTTTACAGAGGAATCCTGTCAGAGTACAGGAGCCGTTTGTCTGGCATGGCTCCCCTGTACCCAAACCTGAGGTCCCACCACCACTCAGGATGACTATAAATGACACGGTAGGATCATCTAGTGGTTCTCCATTCAACTTGATTGCCCATTATAGGAGTTTTATTATATATATTTGAGTAGCATTTGGGTATACTTAGGTACCGGGTATACATTTTCGGCCTAGTTGTAAAGTTGTGTTGTACCTTTCAGACTGCTGTGCCACCTCACCTACAAAGCAAGTTTGAGCAGTTATCAGCAGCTGTAAAAGGTTACCTGACCAGGAGACTCCTCAGAACTGAGAAGGTGCAGGCTTTGAGGAAAACTATCAAGGTAAAAACTTCCAAACATGCATTGGAGCAGAACAGCAGCAAACACTTGTTCAACCTGTAGTGATATTGGTCATTGCAAAAACTCCATTGTCTTGATCCACAGAGCATCTTGGGCTATAGCCTATAACTATGAGTATGAAACAGTTGACCTCGATTTGTGATGGTAGTGCTCATCTTTCTAAAGCAAGGTGCATTAGTGCCATGATGCATTAGTCTGATTGAAAAGCATGCTGTAACCATGGTTTATGTTGGAATATGTTAACCTGATTACCCTAGTGTCAGCCTGGCTCCTTTACTTCATTATCTTAAATGTAGGACACATTCCACTAATTTGTCCAGACCTGGCTCCTGGATTATCTGGTTGTGGTACACCAGACTGAAATCAGTCGGTTTGAATAACTGTGTAACAAAACAAACAGAAGTCCAAGTTATTCAGTAAAACAAGGTATATGTATATGCTGTTTGTGTTCTTTCTCTAGGTGTGAATAAACTCCATTTGTCACACGACTGTAGGCTTCTGAACCAGAGTCATCACTCTTATCAGCATTCTTAAACAAACTTGCCATTGGTCCTACTGTTCACAAATGAGACTATACAGTCAGAAGTAGTAGTGCAGTAGAAATTCAGTCAATTTATTGCTTCCTAATGTTCTATCCAACTGTTCGCTGTCTTGTTCTACAGGACACGACAGAGCTGATCATGAGCCTGCAGCAGGAGACGCCCATCAGGAAGGGCATGGTGACGACTCAGGATGCAGAACTGGTGCAGAGGGTCATGGTGCAGGTGGGAACATGCACCTCACTTCTTATGCTCTAATGTCCTACATATTATAAACTCTATTGTTATTGTTGCATGCATTTTGCATCTATTTAAAGTAGTGAAAAATCTGCTCTACTTCCAAATGTTTTAAATGTATTCTATGTAATACTAACAAAAAATGTGACTGTCGACGTAGTAATTTGAATGAAAGTTCTTCTTGATGTTATAACTTACTTAGGATTTCAACATGAGAAGGATCAGAGGACTGATGAAAAGCTTGATGCTAAGTCTTAAAAAAATCTCTTACTTGTGCCCACAGCTGCAGGCAGCTCTCCTTGAAGTCCATGATGTGTTCTTCCAACTCCCAGTTCAAGGTCAGATGGCCATCATCAGTCATGATCGCGACATCCAGGAGGAGAGGAGGATGAAGATGGTATGTTGGATCTCTTATGTTTTACTCGTACAGGAATAGGTTCATGAAATAGGTTCATTTGCCAGGAAAAAATGTCCTGGTGGACTACTATACATACATGTAGGTACTGGACAAACAAGAATTTAAATCACTCTTAGGCCACACCAATTTAATTTCTTGGTTAACGGATTCGCCGCTTCATTTTTTTTCTGATTTACAAATGAAAATAAAAATCCAGAATCTACTGCAAAATGCTCATATTTTGCCCTGAACAGTTGAAAACAGTCCTTTTCATCCTACTTGTTACAGTTATTCCATCTTTCAATGCAGTGGTATCATTAAAAGTTCAAAATTCATTGCTTAAATTTTGGACCAGCCTGGTATGTTGACTTAATGGCTCCTATCGTACCATTTTGGGCCATAATAGGATGCCTAGGCCTGTTTTTATTTTTATTATTTTTTCGCCTGCCCGCTCCATTATTTTTCTTTAAAAATCCGTTAACCAAGAAATTAAATTGGTGTGGCCTTAGAAAGGAGAGTGTAATATTGTAGATCCTTCAGTTCACACCAAAGATCTTTATATAGTTTCTAGTGCAAATTACCAGTTCATGTTGTTTTATTTCTCTGCAGATTAAAGCAGAATCTGCAGCTGCTGAGAAGAGACCCAGTCGTTTATCCAGTGCGACTCAGAAGGCTCTGCAGAGGAAGCGTCAGCTCAGGTAGCTGAAAGTTTAACTGTCAATATTACTTGTGTCATGTTGGAGTAATGGATGGTCTTAGTACATGGTCAGGCCCAAAGCCATGTCATTTGTAACCAGTTACATTGGTATACTAATATTGGTGTTACTGGTAATGTTACATGTATGTGCCTCATTTGTTGAGTTGATACAGACTTGTTGATATTGACTATAGTTACAACATTGATATGCCTCTGTCTGTGCTGTTGTGTTCTCAGGGCAGCAGAGGCAGCAGTATTTGGTCGTTCCCTGACAGCTCCTCCAAGGTCAAGTTCCACCAGCCCCAGCAGAAGGAAAAATACCATCAACCCCAGG